AACGTGGGCTCAACTTTTGGCACAATATGTTAAAAAAATTTAAAAATTGTCAAATATTTTTTTAATTGCTGGCTTGCATAAATAACTTTAAACGCGTTTTAAAGTAGGTTGCCAATGAAGAAAAGTATTGCAAACTTAGACCTGGTAAGAACTCGGAATACCAAAGGTATTTTTCGAAAAATTAGCCTGGATGTCCCAGTACATTTAGTGTAAATGACGGTTAACTTTGATCGGCTATAACTACGTAACTAATTGATCAACCAATCTGTTTTTTTTTATAGAAGCGTCTTTCCAATAACCTTTAAAACTAGCTTTAAGTTATTCTAATTGTTTATAAGTACAAAAATTCGACCAATGTTTAAACAAGCGCCAGAGCTCTCCTAATTGACGGATTCGAATTTTTCAAAATGCGTTTGAAAGCTTGAGAGCTCTTCTATATTCTAAATTTTCAAGTATCTAAGGGCCTTGGTTTTTGCTGTGCAAAATTTTGAAAATTTGTAAATTTTTTTTTCAAAATCTGGATTGCAAAATTATTATGCAAAATCTATCGAACCGATTTTGATGAAATTTGGTGTGATGATTCTACATAATATGAACTTTTTTTGAAGTATGAAGGTCCTATACCCAACTTAAAGACGCCAAAAAAATTCCTTAAAAAATAATGTTTTTTAACCCAATTTTTGGCGATTTTTTCGATTTTTACAATAATAATCATGATTCATTTTCCTTTTCCATTTTCGCCTAAAATCACCTCTTGAAGAGATATATAATTAAATAGGAAGAAAAATATGACATTTTTCGAATTTTTTTAACATATTGTGACGCCAAAAGTTAAGCCCACGTTTTTTTTATGCGCATAGAAAAATTTTCATTCCTAGTGATATTTGAAAGCCAAAAAGCCAAAAATCTCCGTGGATATACGTTTCATCCAAATCAAAACAGATACCGCCTAGTCTAATACGCGGGGTATAATTCCTTGTTGTAGCCGGTCAAACGCCTTAGTACAAAGTAATGATCACATCCACTTGCTCTTGATTGTCCAAGGTCTCTGATAACTACTGCCTAAGGCATAATAAATTTGTAGTTGTAGATACAAACGTGGATAAACACCTTACTAAACTTTTTTATTATAGTGTTAGGGCGATAGTTAGCGATCATCTGTTATTTTACTGGTAGTTAAAATTAAGTTAAAAAATATTTTTAAAGGTTTCATTGGAACATTATGTGGCCCCATTCTCATTTTCGGTTTTAATTTTTTATTGCATTTTAAAACGTCACTTGTAGACTGAATTGATAAAATATTATTAAAGCTTCTATAATACATGTCCTCAATATGAATCATATTTGTAACAACGTCGGAAATACAGGGTGTCCGGAAAGGTCATGTCAAATATGAAGGGTCTACAGTGGAGCTCAAAATAGTTGTTGTAATTCATAAAACATTTTTTTCTATCGTGCTTCGTTATGGAGTTATTCCCCTTCAAAGAAAGAAGTTTGAAAACAAATTGCAATTATAATTTCTAGTTGTTACCATGACAACATTGAAATTTGGGCAATTAAAGTAATTCATGATAATGTGCATTTCCAAGCTTAAACCGATATCAATATGCCTGGATTAAGTATACAGAAGCAGATGAAATTATCCATTTATAAATTTTATAAATTTATACATCTTTGACAGCGTTACCAAATTTGCCATTTTTCTTTCATAGTTCGATTTCACTCTCACTTTGCCAAAAAAGTGTTAGTATCACATTTTTGATAGATATCGACTGATATATAGTATACCTTTTTTTAACAAAGTAAGAGAGGAATTGAACTATGAAAGAAAAATTTCAAATTTGTCAACACTGTCAAAGGTGTATTTTAAATGGATAATTTCATCTGCTTTTGTATAATCCAGGCATATTAAATAACCGTTTAAACTTGGAAAAGAACATTACCGTGATTTACTTTAATTGCTCAAATTTCATTGTTGTCATGGTAACGATTTAGAAGTTGGAATATGACCAACATTTTTAATGTTCATCTATAACGTTGAGTTTAGTTCGTAAAAAAATATGTGAGATTTATCTAAGCCTCCTTTTAGTTTAGATCTTAAATTTTTAAATAATACGTAAGAAGCACGATCTCTAGAATTTTTATAGGATTTTCACAGCTTTTCATTATTTTTAATATCGCGTATAATGGCGGCATTAAACTAGAGTGGATATTTAAGTATATTATTATTATTATTAAGTATAATATTATTGATTATATATGATAGTAACATAGGAGAGAGACACATTTCTATCAAAAACACCCTGTAATATTCTATTAAAGCCATTACAAGCTTTATTTACATTATTATATTTATCTATATACTTGATTTCCACAAATTGAAATATTTGGAATTAGAATTTCCAGCCTTATGTAGTCATGATATCGTCATTTAAAAAAATAGTTATACCTAAAGACGGTGGATGATTTAATTAATTCATAAAATACCACTTGTGCACAAAAATTATGAACAATTTTACCAAAGTTTATGTTCATGCAACCTTTGTTTAATTACAGACAATTTTCAGTGCACTGGTAATATTTCTATTAAAAACAAAAAACGAACTACTGAGCTTGTTACAATCCAAATTATAGAAGAGGTGATTAATTTGTGCTCCTTTTTTCCCACAAAAAAAAAATAAAATAAACAAGGAACTCTCCGATGTAGATGTTGGAGATTCGCGCTGTTTTTCTCCCAAGTAGGTAACAAAAAACATGTTTTTAAAGTGCTCTTTCCTTCACAACAACACGATTTGTTATGAAAGAAATGATGAGGGAAGAGACACTGATTAGCTCAGTGGGTAGTGGGGTGAGTTCGTCACAGTCTCAAGGATATTGCCTGAGCAAAATAAAATTTAAAAAAAACTAGTAAGGTAGGTAACATCTATTCCTACTATCAATTAATTATTACTACAAGCTTCACTTGCTTAACATATTCCCGTATGAAATCAGATTAATTCTTAACCTTAATGAAAAGAGTAACAGTAAAAAAATCACCATCAGTATTATTATTATTATTATTATTAGTTGTGGCGGAATTCGTGAGTATTCACTTGCAGTAAATACTGTTGCGTTTGTGGACTGTATGAAAAATTTAAACAAAATTTCGAATGTGAAGCTGAACACACCCTTTATTTGCAGCAAGCATCCAACGGCACCAGAATGACCAAGAAGGCACAAAATAAAACCGAAAAGTATATAGATTAATCAATAAAGATCGGATTTTACGCAATTGCATATTTTATGCATATTTTGCATATATCTTCAAATTTTGTCATTTAATGCATATGTAGGATTTCTTTGCATATCTTGCATATTTACGTTATTTTTTCTATTTTGGAAAGTAGAAATCTTCATTAAATTTGGTCTGCCCATGGTGTTGATTGCTGCTGACTTCCACAGTTTGCTTCAACATTGACTGAACATGACCCGATTTGATTCTGTTAGCCTTAGAAATGTGGGACGGCGTCTTGGCGTGCTGGTCTACTTGGAATTTCTTCGAGCAGGAAACAATTTTTGAACAAGCCTTGCAAAAAATGCGGTCGCCATCAAAAATAAGTTCTGGATACGGTTTAATCCACGAGGCACTTTGAATTTTTGGCATGTTCGCTACGTAATTCACATTCACTTTGTTTGGGCACACTTTAGGTGTTCGAACTACTGCAACCACACTGATACTAGTAATTTCAAAAAGGATGAAAATAATTTATAGTAGAGGTATAGTAGGTATTCAAACCTCAGCTTAACAAAGCTATAAAAATCTATTAATATTTACCTGAATATTTTTGAATTATTGTTGGGTTTAAACTTTTATGGCTTTATGTAGGTATTAAACTACCTACCTGTCCGAATGCCCATGATAAGTAAATGACAACAAAATTTCTTTATTTCTACTTTCCAAAATAGAAAAAATAACGTAAATATGCAAGATATGCAAAGAAATGCTACATATGCATTAAATGACCCAATTTGAAGATATATGCAAAATATGCATAAAATATGCAATTGCATAAAATCCGGTCTTTAGTTATTAATAATAGTTTTTAATAAGTTAATGTTGTAGCGTTCAATATAAACTATTAATTTACCACGTAAAGGTGTGATGTGTAGTGTTGCAATTTGCAACAATAATTTTTATAGTGCTAAACAAAAGACAATTTAAAAATTTCCTTTCATGTGTTTCCTAAGGATAAAAAACTTAGAAAAATATGGGTGGAACGGTGCAAGAGACGCGATTTGTTTAATCCTTCAACTGGACATATTTGTAGTGCACATTTTGAAGATTTAGACTTTGAACGCGATCTTCAAGCAGAGCTATTAAGTTTACCACCAAGAAAAATACTTGTAAAGCAAACAGGTATGTTTATTAAAACAATAAAGCAATAATTTCATTAAATTATTACTGGTTATTATATTTAACTATAATGAAATCAGCAGATAACTTACCATGTTTTGCTTTACAAATTTGTACCTATCCTATAAATAGGTACATACCAAATATACTAAAAGCCAGATGACAGGGTGTAATATTTTACATAGTTTTTCTATATGAAATTATAATTAAAATGGTTCGTCACGTACAAATATATTAAATCTCCTAATATATTTGGTCCCTTATGATACGTATAATTCAGTATAATAAAACTCAGAACCTATATAAAACTGAAAAAACTTATATTTTTATAAAACTCTGAATATTTATTTATAGGAAGAGTGAGTAACTGCACAAGGCCACAATATTTTTTGGTACTTTACTTAATTTAAGTATAGGTTATTTTCATATATTCAAAAATTTACACAGAATTCTATGTAACATTCTATATACAATTTTGTACCGTGTCATATGGTCTTAACATGTATGTAATAAGTTATGTAATATGACTTTCATTTAATTTCCAGCTGTACCCTCAAAAAATTTGAAACATATAGAAGACACGAAAAACAATGTTGATTGTTTGCAGAGATCAGAAGTGCGTGATAATAAGAAATTAGTAGAGGAGGTGTTGCACAATTCTAATACTGATTCCGTTTCAAATGTAGCTGAAGTTGAAGACGATGATTCGTCCTGGTTACAACATCTATCGTTTGGTGGTTTAACAGTTCCAAGTGAAGAGTGGCTTGAGAAAGCAAGAACTTTTGAGAATGTTTTTATTAAATATAATAAGCATGCAATTTATAAAAAGAAAAACATCGTAACGAAGATTTCAAATAAAATACAGATGAAACATCTAAATTTCCCAGAGGACATTATAAAAGCGTTTATTCTTCAACGGACATATTATATAAGGTTGAAACACTTAAATTCCCAGAAAAAAAGTTGTGCAAATAAAAGGAAAGTTTCTTGTGATAGAAAGATTAAAAAAAAATGAAAAAGATATGTACCTAAAGTTCACCTTTTGTTTTTATTATTTATAATATTATCATTGTTTTTGTGTACTCTAAATTTCCTCTGTGTACAAGATGATCTAAAAATGTTAAATTTCTAGTTTAACTGATTGTATTCACTTCAAAATGACTTATGTTTTTATACTATTTAAATTCAAAAGGGTTAGTTCTATAAAAGATCTAGGTGTATTATTAAACTTTAAATTTATTGTTGTTGTTGTTGTTGTTGTTGTATAACAAATTGTTGTGATTGTTAGAAAAGCGATTGGAAATTTTAAGTATCTATCAAAATGTGATTTTAATATTTTTGTAAAACTCTTGACAATTTTTCTTAAAATTAAATGTTGTTAAAAGTTCTGTGAAGATAACTTCAATTCCTTTTATTCCTCCATTTAACTCCAAACACTGAAAAAAAAATCCGAGAAAGCTAGAAACTACGGTATAGTTTACTTGTAAAAACTAAGATTTTTTTTTATTCGGATCATGAGTAAAAAGGATAAATATGATAACCGTAGTTGGTACATACAATAATAAATTATGTGGCAGCCTGTTATAAAGATTTAAAGTACTTAGTTATTTGAAATTTAATTAGACAAAAATAGATAAAATAAGATCATATAAATTGTACACAATTTTTATTTTGGAGGCAAGATAATAGCTCAAAATTGTTTATACAGGGTGTCCCGTTCATGTTTCAAAAAAACTTGTGTGCAAGTTCCTCATGGGAAAATAATAGGGGTAGTTCATGTAACGTTTTTTTCTTAGACGCCTTGTTTTCAAGATACAGTGTGTTGAAGTTGTTACTTTCCAAATGGTTTTCCTTAATTATCTTTAAATCGACTAAAGATAAAAATGTAAAAATTTGTACACGAGTAAATATCAACTGTGCGTTAAGAATAATGTGCAAACGGTTTCTTTCTGAAAAGCAGTGTTGCCGATACAGGTAATTGAAGGGGTACAATTGAAAAAAAGATATGTTAAAAATCAAAGTTTGTTACATTTCTAAACGGTTCTGTAAACTCTAAAGCAGACTACAAAAAAAAGGTATACTTATCGAAATTCGGTAGTATGTACCATTTTCAAGAAAAATGAAATTGCATTTTTTGCTCATAAGACGTCACAAGTACATTAATAAAATATTAAATTGAAAGGACTTTACCATTCAATTAGTTGAAGACATTTAGCTACCAACAGTATTTGCATTTAAGATTATAATTTTAATTTCTTAAGTATCACATGAAACAGTTAAATTGTAAAACATTAACTAAAAAAAATTAAAATTTATTTTAACGTTCACCTTGTTACAAGCTAACAACTAACAAAAAAGTAAATAAAAATAAATGATTATGGTAATTAATTAATAACTTATTTTAGATTTTGTGAACTACTACACAGCCATTACTAAAATAAACATTTGTTGAATGGACTGAATTGTTGATGGACATGAATGTTTAAAAAAGTGATAAGATCAGAAAAATATTAGGAAACAGACTCGGAGGCATACAGAATAAAACAGCTACACAATTAAATAAATGAGCAAAACTCGAAATACTACAGTAGATGCTGAAATTGTCCCCCCATTTGAAGCAAATACAATACAGTTGATATTTACTCGTGTACAAATTTTTAACTTTAGCCGATTTAAAGATAATTAAGGAAAACCATTTGGAAAGTAACAACTTCAACACACTTGAAAACAGGGCGTCTAAGAAAAAAACTTTACAAGAACTACCCCTATTATTTTTCCATGAGGAACTTGCACACAAGTTTATTTAAACATGAACGGGATACCTTGTATATTCACTTGCTCCCTTCATTTTATTAGAATATAGGGCATATTGCGTATAAATGTCTCCTTGCTTATGGATATTCATAGATTTAGGCTATGTCTATAATAAAATTAACACAAATTTTAGGTTAACTTTGTAATGAACCAGTATTATTTTCCGTTTTGTGCAAAGCCGTTAGCGATTTATTTATTAATTAGTTTAATTGAGTGAGAGCAATTACCCGCGAGTCGAGCCGAAACCGTCCGTTGCCCCACTCTGTCGAGTGCCGCGCGTATAATCCCACCAAGACTCTTGCTCAGTCAAGGGGAGATTGAGGCAATAAAACCAACGTTCCTGGTTCCGAAAATCCTCAGTTCATATCCTGAACTCGCAGAGCTCCAGTACCAGCCTGAGGACCACCCCGAGGACCCGAAACCGACCAGAGACCGCCATCCGACCTAGCCGCCGGGAGCAAATATCCGGAATAAGTAAACAAATTGTATTTTCCTATATTTACTTGTCCTGCTATGGTATAAGTCTGGCCGTTTTGAACTTTGGCAAGACAGTACGATCACAGCGTTGTCGGCGAGGGTTTGGCTGGGTGTCTCACCGCCTTCGTTCGACGAACGTTGTCCGTCACGTCAACCGAACTGCTGGTTTGGCTGGGTGTCTCACCGCCAGTGGAAGAGGTTGAGTGCAAGTTCGTACGGCAGCAGCGTTATCGGCGAGGGTTTGGCTGGGTGTCTCACCGCCCTCGTTCGACAAACGCTGTGAGCCCCTTTACTGAAACTTCTGCTTTGGCTGGGTGTCTCACCGCCAGTAGAAGACGTGAAGGTGTCAGACTGTACGGCATCAGCGTTGTCGGCGAAGGTTTGGCTGGGTGTCTCACCGCCCTCGCTTGATAAACGCTGTAAGGCACAATAACCGAAACTGCTGGTTTGGCTGGGTGTCTCACCGCCAATAGAAGACGTTGTGTGTCGGCTGTGCAGCGACGGATAGACCCTCGAAGTTTGGCTGGGTGCCCCACCGCTTCTGGGAGAAATCTGTCAGCCGCCTCGCGTTTGAACGCGCACCTCGCCCAGACTTTGCCTCCTGTTAACCAACAAAATCCTTTGCTGACTGCCGTTTGCTTATTTATGCCCGTTGTAAACTGCTTTGCTTGGCTTTCTCCCTGGCTGGTTAAATTTTCGCTGAATTTCCGTCGCTTTGCTAGAAACTACCGCCGATATTTATTTGTAAAATTAGAGTAACCCGCAATTATTTTTCTGTTTCAGAACAATTGGGGACAATTTATTTATTGATTATTTATTGCTCTAATTTATTAACCTTATTTATTCTTCCCTTTCTAGCACCGACCGAAATTTAAAACCGAATATTATTCTGGCGTACCGTTTCTTAAAGGATTAGCCTGTTTATTAAATAAACCAAACGCCAAATACTCCGTCTGTCTACCGTACCGATTTTGAGTCCTGATATTTGACTATGTGCTAAATTTGTATTTATTTACAGCACCGAAAAACCGCATCGGCATTATAAATCAGTCGTAAATAATAATTGCTCTAACCCATTTTATTTCATTCACACCGCTTGTAAATTGATTGTATATTCCTGATTTTAGTTAGTGATAATAATTGTAATTAGAATCTATTTAATCTTATTAATAGAAAATAAATCTAGTATACAGGGTGATTCACAACTTATCCAAAAAAATTTGGGAATAGATGCAACATGAGAAATGGAATCGTATATCAATATCGTAAATATCGTAAACAAAATTTTTTGTAAAATCCTTATAGTTTCCGAGAAAAAAAATATTGAAGTTATAGTACATTCGACCACTACATAGCTGGACAACTGTAGTCTCTAGCGTCATTCGCCACGTGGCCTCAGCGACTCCGAATACTGAATTTGGATTTTGCAATCGTCGTTGAGATATTTACATGTTATCTGTGGTGTAATAGGTTTTTACTAGTGAGTGTCAAAAATGGGAAGTTAGTGTCAAAAATGGTTCGCGTGTACTCGGAGTTGATGGATATCGTTTTAATTTATGGTGAAGCATTTGTGTTATGGTGAAACAAGACAACATTTGTGTTAGTTAGTAGAAACTGAGTACAACGGACCCAAATGTGTTTACACATTGGTGGATAAAATTTTGAACAATTGTTGTAATATCGGGTATGTCAAATGATTTTATTATTTAAAGACACAAATTGACAGTTGATTTTGCCGATATAAAATAGGTGCGATAAAATTCTATTTACATATTCCTTTCCTTGTGAAAGTTTTTGTCCGTTTTTATCACACCGCCATGCCGGTCGCATTGTGCTAGGTAAGGTTTTACAGTGGACCAGTTTTCAGTGCCGTGCAGAAGTGTATTTTTAAATCATTTTCGAACTGCCCTTTTTGATTTTTTCTTTACAAAATTGTATTTGTAAGGGTCCCCTGTACATCCACAATTTTTTTTTGGATAAGTTCTAAATCACCCTGCATATATATTTCCAGTTGTCTTCATTCTTAACACCGATAAGATTGATAAAATTCCGATCAGTAAAAAGTCTTACTATCTTTTTGTGACCTACACTGACAAGTCCGTTTATTTTAAAAGTAAAATAACACTACACTCAAAGAACTACTTTGATTAAAAGTAAGAGAAATATAACAGATCCCTGGAATTAAACTTTCTTCACTGTAGCTATCCCGAGTACTTACTCTAAACCGAGGGTAGGGTTCACGTGGAGTTTCCTCCACGTAAAAGATAGGGAAACTGGCGCCCGAGACAAACCGAACAAAAAGATTTAATCCGAGGTACGTTCCTGTGACGTCACTCACCACCGCCGGCTGCCAACCACCGCTGCCGATAAACTAGTAGTCAAGGTCGTCATAAAATTAGGCGTCCAAAGAGGGACGTCAGTGACGTCAATAACTATAGTAAATTAGAATTCGAATTTTCGA